TCAAAGTGTGAGCATGTCAATGAAGTTCTCTCTTAATATATATATATATATATATATATATATATATATATATATATATATATATATATATATATATATATATATATATATATATATATATATATATATATATATATATATATATATATAGGCAGGCATGGAGGTTGAGTGGCCGTAGCGTTGCATATAGTCCAGTAGATCCTCCGTGAGCGGTCACAACGTGGTTTATTTCGACGTTTCGGCCTAGAGTCTGGCCTTCATCAGGATCCTGATGAAGGCCAGACTCTAGGCCGAAACGTCGAAATAAACCACGTTGTGACCGCTCACAGGATCTACTGGACTATATATATATATATATATAAAGAAGTGTATACTTTTGGGCTCGTTATTCCGTGTTTTGACGCAATATTAATGACATTTAACAGACAATAATGCCGAGGAAATTATACGAGGAAGCTATTAAACCGATTTGTACTGTAATTGTGAAGAAATAAAAGCGGGTGAAAAGATAAGTTGATGTGGGCAGGAACCGAACCTGCAACCTTCGAATGACGCGTTCTATGCTCCACCGCTGAGCTGCCACGGCAGCTATCCTCCCAGCCACTTTATTGGGTATATATAGCAATTTAAAAGAGGGAGTGTCAGTCAGCGCCACCAGTAGACATGGCAGTGAGTGTGGCACACTCTTTATGAGCCTGGGTGGCGTCACGTGGCAGGTGAAGTTATTACCAACTGGCAGCTGACCAATAGTCCTTCGTATACAACGTAAAGGCACGAAGTCTGCTAGTACGAGACTCTCGTAATGAATAAGGAAAACAAGTGTATACTTAAGGGCTCCATTTTCCGTGTCTTGACACAATATGATGAGATGAAACAGACAATAATGCCAAGGAAAGTATAGGGGACGCTATTAAACCGAATTGTACTGCAAGTGTGAAAAAAGTGGGTGAAAAAATAACTTGCCGTGGGCAGGAATCGAACCTGCGACCATATATATATATATATATATATATATATATATATATATATATATATATATATATATATATATATATATATATATATATATATATATATATATATATATATATTTCATATACCACTGATACAGGGAGCAATGACACGCGAAACAGAAGCCCCGTACATGCTTCGTGACCTTGTGCGCTTTCGCTTTCTGTTTCATTTGAACGCGCGACGTGCGACCAGCCTTCGGTGAAATCCCACGTGTGTGCGCGGGCGTGAAGCGGCCTCCTGTGGCTGGTGCAGGAACTTTGCAGCTTACGATGTTCAACTCACCTAGGGACCGGCTACTAGGGTATACGGTGCGGTCACTTGAGTACATGGCGTAATTTGTAGAGAGAACAGCGCACAATTTTTAGCCGATTTTGAGAATTAATTGTAAATTACAAGCCGCGTGCTAAGATACAATGTTTGGCTCGTGTGTTCTCAGGTGCCTCGACTACTAATTGACAGTGTTTTCTCATCATGATGAAAAAAGGGGGGGTCAAGGAGCTTTTTTATATAAACAAATCAAGACAAATTTCGGAAAGTTTTTTTGTACTTAACAAGTTTCAATCAGATCACAAAAAACAATGATACTTACTGATGTCCCTTTCTCGCATTTCCATACACCCTAATGCGCCCACATGTCTGAAGTGTTATTTTTGCCGTTTCGTACCCGTAACATCCTATTGTCCCCATGACATCCAAAATCAAATAAATTAAAGTTACAAAATTGCGTGGACATTTTTAGAAAAACCAAGCGTCTCATGTGGGTTTTGCTTTGAAGCCTCCAAGCTTTCGCAAATCTGACATCACTACATGTTGCTTGACCTATCAGTACGTTTATTGGGTTGACCGAAAACTTACGGCATCCACTATGTGTTTAGAAGTAATAATCTATTTTTCAAGTTATGCTGGGTGTGCGACGCAACAAGTATAGCATAACAGAGAATCACGAGGCAGTAAGAGCATTGTGCCATTTACTGCGCAATACTTTCGAGTTACGTAAAACAAGGAACGACACGCAAGGGGTAAAATGTAATCGAAAACACGTTTATTAGTCAAACATTCAGTCTAGAATGCAAAAGTAGGAAAGGCTAAGAGACATGTGCCTCATGACTAGACCACACATTTCTTTGTCAACGTTATAATACTACGGAGCCGATGCAATCAAAAGCATAAAATGCAACATTTTTCTACCCCTGTCTCTAACATGAAGTTCTTGAAACGGCAGAGTCACAGTGAAGTTATGACGTTAGCTATTTTTTTAACGAGTGATATACTACAAAGAAAAGCACGTAGGTGTCTCCTAGTTGTGTTTGGTCCCTAAAAGCATGAAGGTCTCGCAGAAGCTGAAGCATGAACATTTAGGGTGCAGCACTAAAAAAAAATACTGCCATGACAGCCGCTTGTAGCAATGTTTTTTATATATGTGTTTCTGTCAGTGTTTTTTAGCGCTGAACCGTGAATGTTTTGCCATGACACATTTCACCCCAACCAAAATTCTGCCGAAGCACCGACGCCACACATCTCCTTGTACACCAATGTGCGTTTGCTTGAGCAGAAACAAACCAATTTGAAAAAAACAACAAAAGCGTTTATTTGTCGCATTTGTCCCTTGTACCCAATGTTAGCTTTTTAACCTGTCATTACTCTCATCAGAAACCAACAACCTAAACTTATTACTCTTATTCTTGAGATAATTTGTCAATTACTGCTCCTTACATTGCTTACGGCGTTTATTGTAAAAGCTTAAATTTGAATTGAAATCGTTGACTCCCCTTGTGTTGCGTTTTTTCTATGGTTGCCCGTTCTTTATGGTGTTATGACAGACATAAAAAATTAAAAAGAAATGATAAAACATATGATCGATCATATCAGTGATATCAGTGATTATGAAGAAAATGTAGGCAGGTGAGATTACTGCAATAATTGTTCTCAGGAACTGTCTGCTTCTTATTTAAAAAAAGGGCACTAAGCGGAGCGGTACACTTAAGCTTAAATATCCTCCACTAGCTCTTCGTGCAACACTTTTTAGAGATAGGCCTCACTCCATTCTTCTAGTGTGCTTTTTATGCCCACCAAAGCTTACTCTCTACTTATTATTGAATTATTTAGCAATAATTGAATCCAATGTCTTTGAAACGATTGGGTCTGGTGTCTAAGCTGTTTTTAAATAATAGAAGCATTTCAGGAAAGGCACTTTCACAGCAGCGACCATAGTGATCGCTACAAAATGTGTTGCCGTATTACAACAAAGCAATAATGTCATTGCCAAACACAATTTGACAAGCTAAATGGTTAAAATTATTCTTCTCGGTATTTATGAGGTATTGAAGGAACACTAAATTATGGGACCAGAACGAGAACACGTGGCTTTAGATTTAAGATTACGATGATGCGATGCAAACGTAAGATGATATGAAATGTTGAGCATTATACGAGATGCTGAACATTGTGTGGTTACTAGTGCCACTTGTCCATTGATGGCCTGCAACTGCAGCAACACCTATTAAGTAGTGCTTAACATTCGCTCTACGTCGTTTTCTTAGAAAATACTTTACAGCAGTAGTAAAATCAGGTTCTCTTCACCTTGATGTAGAAGAAACCACTTCTCCCCACTCGGCGCCCGAGGCGCACCACCCGTGGTGGTGTAGCAAAGTGGGAGAAGAAACGTACACCGCTATCCCAATAGCGGCTATTGGCCTGCTGGTCGATGCCCCACCTCGTCGTGGACGCGCCTTTTGAGTGTCGAGAACTCGATCGAGGACTGTTTTGACCCAGTCACTCCCTCGGTGTCTTCCGGGAACACGAGGCTATCTGCAGCTTACAGCTGCCGCAGCTACTTGCTGCAGTGTCTGTCCGTTGGTCTGGTGCCGATTGGCGTCTTCATCTGTACTTCGTTTTTTCTCCCAGCCAGCTTCTTCCTTCTTCCAACTCCGTCCACAGCAAGCCAATCCTGTCGGCTGCGCCAGTAAAATCAGGTTCTCTTCTCGGTGTAGAAGAAACCACTTTTCCCCCACTCGGCGCCCGAGGCGCACCACCCGCGGTGGTGTAGCAAATTGGGAGAAGAAACGTACACCGCTATCCCGATAGCGGCTATTGGCCTGCTGGTCGCTTGACGATGAAGCAGAAGCAACGCTGAAGAAGTTCTAGATGGCTGAGAAAAACTTGTATTTACAGATTTTACAAAACAATGGACATCAATGTTACAAAAAAAAAGAAAAGAAAAACAACTTGGAAATGAACCGACTTCTGTAGGGCGACCCTACGGGGATCGGCGGAGCCGATGGTGCCTAACACCGCAAGCTCGGTTCAGCGCCATCGGCTCCGCCGATCCCCGTAGGGTCGCCCTACAGAAGTCGGTTCATTTCCAAGTTGTTTTTCTTTTCTTTTTTTTGTAACATTGATGTCCATTGTTTTGTAAAATCTGTAAATACAAGTTTTTCTCAGCCATCTAGAACTTCTTCAGCGTTGCTTCTGCTTCATCGTCAAGCGACCAGCAGGCCAATAGCCGCTATTGGGATAGCGGTGTACGTTTCTTCTCCCAATTTGCTACACCACCGCGGGTGGTGCACCTCGGGCGCCGAGTGGGGAGCAGTGGTTTCTTCTACACCGAGAAGAGAACCTGATTTTACTGCAGTGTCGATTTCTTTACGCTGAACTACAAGTGGCTGTACATAAATAAAAAACTATAAATATACTCAGAGCTGCTTCACGACCATGACACAAATCACGGTACAACCAACGGCTCAAGACACGTACGTATCAAACGATGGCGAAGATTGCGGGAGAATAGTTACGAAACCAATGACTGCCCTCTTAAGCACGTCAACAATCGGTAGCTTAACACAATATGATCCCCATGCGGAACTCAACAGTCGCAGCTAGCTCACCGCAATTACAACATACGACACACACCACTTATACGCTCATAGAAAGGTATACGCTTACATGCCAAATGCCACTAATGCCCTGAGTGCCAACAACGGCAAAAACTACAGATGTGACTTCTCAGCGTCTGTTACAAATCCTGGGTTATCAATGGCGCTTTTCTTCTCTAAATTGCCACTGTAGTTGCTGCTCTCGGAGCCGCCTTTCTCAATGTCGACTTCCGTAGTAGAGGGGTCATCGCCCTTTCTTTGCGACGCTTTCGAGCTAATGGACTTGTCGAACAAAATCCTTTGAAGATGGTAGGCTGGTGCTTCACAACACAAATGCAGCACGTAGCCGAAAAATATGCTGTAGCAGAATATTCCAAGAGACATCATTAGCTGGAAAAAAAAGAAAAGAAACGGTTATATGCAATTACTTTCTAGTAATACATGTTGCAGTATCTCAAGAAAACTATTGTTATCTGAACCCACGTTCATAGTATATAGTCCCATGTTTTCTTCGGGGATCATGGTTTACGCTGAAGTGGATGATAACTTCCGTCTATTTCACCAAAATGACTGAATATATCACAAGTTTCTTACTCTGATGTTTTTATCTTTTACCGTGCCAATAATTGTAGCGAAAAACTCTATCCGCTATAAAATCTATACAATTTCATATATAGAAGAGGGACAAATGGCTTATGGCACCCTAATTGTTGTTGAAGTAAAATTGTGAGGACTTCAAGGCGTAATGACAATTAGATTGCGGTTTTGCATAACTCCGTTAACAATATCTTTTTCTTATTTTATTTCGGAGCTTACATGTGGAACATGGAGAATATTTAGGTCCATATTTTTTATTTAACAGACAAAACTGGAAGAAAAGGCCCTCTCACAACAGAGCCTGTAGTGGTCGCTATTATTGCAAAATGTGTCCATCTTTTACAAGAAAGTAATAATCTCATTGCTAAACACAATTTGACGAGAAAAAGGGTTAATAAGCTTCTTGGAACTTATAAAGTCTTGCAAGAGCGCTAAATGACGGAACGAAAACGTGGCCTATGATTTACAAATATGATGATGTGACGCATCTTCATAATCCTAAATTCTATATGTACAGATTTCATATGTACAAGCTTGTGAAACATACAATGGATGGAATAGGGAGGACGCAGTATCTCCTTTTTTGTCACGCTTTGGGTGTGCCATATTCTATGGTTTATCTAACACAGAGTGCGTTCGGCAAGTACACGAAAGTATGAACCCTCTCCCCGAAGGGAACGCTGATGGGATGCGAAGCAGCAGCGGCGCGCCCGGTGTTGACCCGGTTAAAAGAGATGTCGACGTGCGTGCTGGAAGAACGGTTTGAAGCGAAACTCGGTGTAGCGTTTACTCGAGTAAACGTTTGTTTGAAACGCAATGACACGGAAGGGCTCGGATTTCTTGGCTCGTGTTTGTCGGTGTTACCCACGCGCCGTCTGTATTCTCGAACGCGATCGGTGTTCTTGACTCGCACCTCGTCGGTGTCGCTGGTCTTCCAGTGCCGGCGCTTGCGTTCGGCTTCCCGGGCTCGCGCCACGTCAGTGTTGACGTCACCATTCGCGAAAGCGATTGGCTTCATTAACCATCGCAATGCCGGTGACAGCTGGGAAAGGTACGCGCACACGAGTGGGAAGCCTGCCCCAACGGCGTGCCACCCGTTGGCGTGAACGCGCGGCACGCAGTGGCGCGGTATCAACATTGTCGGCGCCACGAGATTCTCGAGGCGCGCCTAGCATGCGCACCCGCCGGCTCACAGCTTCTCACAGACAGATGGAGAAAAGTGGCGCGGGTGAGATGATGCCCACGCGAGGAGTGGGCTTGAGCGTTGCCAGAGGTGAGAGGGTGAACCGAGAAAGAGCTGACACATGGCAAGCGCGCCGCAGGCGAGGGAGAGAGACGTCACCACGCACTGCTAGGAGGGCATGAGCTACTTGGCACCGCTCCAACACCTGCGGTGAGGGAAGCGGTGTGGACGGAGGAACAGCGTTACACAGGGTAGTCAAAGAACTGCTTCGCTACTAAAATTCGAGACACCGAACACAGTAAATGCTGGTCGAAAACCTATAAGGGTTGGTTGAAAGAACGGACATGCGCCATGTGCCAGTTTACAAAATGTGGTCTACCTATGCCAGAAGAAATGCTACTGAGATTTTTTTTCTTGAGCACTATGGAGCATGACGTGTTCAGTAAAAACTTACCTGCGTGTATTCGTCCAGTTCGAAGTTGGTTCTCATGTTGCCCATGCGAATCAGAAAGAACCACAAGTGGACCAGGTATATGCAGTAAGTAAGTCGCGACAGAGGCCTGAGGGCTTTCCATGCGAGGAAAGCGTTTAAGATGCCTGTGGAAATGTCGAAAAACAAAACGAAAAGAAATACGATGCGCGTAAGATTATGCAGTAGTACATGGGTCTACTAGCAATGTTCTCGTAGCCCTATGCTGCCCGTTTTATTTAGCTGTTATGGAGAAAGCAATGTCGAACGACTCAACATCAGGGAGATGGCGTGTAGCCTTCCAGATGTTGCTTCGTTGAATGCACAGCAGCGGCTTCGATAAAAAAAAACGTCTACTCCACCTGACTGAAAAGAAACGCTCAGCACAGTGGACGTCATTGCATTTTCAGTCCATTTACTTTTATATAAATCACATATACACGTGCAAAGGGCAATAATTATATACGCATATTATTACGGCTTCGTTTTATCCTCCATCTTCCCGCTGGTTTGTAGTCGGCAAATAAGGGGCCATGTTTTTTTTGTTTTTTTTTAGTTCTGATGCAAGTTAGACAGTTTCGATTCTTCAACGTGGCACTGTGCACAAATTCTGCATATTATTTTCTAGTATCTCCATCTTCTATATTTTTACAATGTATGCTTCTGTTTTTATTGCTTGTCTACTTGGAATATTACCACAGGTTTGTATTTATTGACATGCGTATTTAATTCGATGTAACATATCTGAAATTCTACCCTGTCATTGAATTTGTTCAAAGATTCGTAATCATATTAACTGTACCTCTGTTCCTGACATGTACTGAGGTACTCATGAGTCTGTAAATTTACGTTGGCCAAAATACACTAAACATTTAGAATATAGACGCCCATGCTCTTCTTGTTTCTGTGTCCTTGTAAATGTCCGCACTAGTTCCCCGGAGTCTTTATCTCTACCTGATACTTGGCTGAACAGTTTATTAACTTACCTCCTCTGCCTGTGGCGCAGGCGAAAGATGGCCAAGCAAGTGCGAGCGCCCATAGAAGCCTATGGCAGCCGCCGTACAGGGCGTTCACCACGTCGCTTGGGGCATTGCCTTGGTTCCAGTACATTGTCACAAACATCACGAAGCACGCAAGCCCAATAGACAACAACCACTGTACCGCCTGGATCGCCTAAAAGTGGCGAGGAGAAGAACGAGGAATGGTAAGCAACAAACGAAAAAAAAACGCAACTTCATAGATCAAGAGGTCGCAGATTTTATGCGTTTACTGTCTCCTAACTAAACTCACTGATGACCAAAACGCTGAGATGAAAATTAACTTTATGTTTTTATGGAACAAGGAAATGCATTGAGCCGCTTTTCCCCCACAGAAGCATTGGGTGCAACTGGACTCTCGGTGTTTATGCATAAAGTGTTTACCTCCACTATTCAAGGCACGTAAGAAGTGCATCATCCCATTATCGTCTCCGAGAAAGGTACACAGCCCCACCTGATGCATTCGCTGATTCGCTGCGGCTTCAACCACGCATACGATTTCGCTGGTGTCACCGAAGCCGCAGCATAATCTACTGCCTCCAAAAATAAGTTAATTTTAACAAAAAGAAAAAAAACTAAAATGGGCTTCTTTACAACCCCCCCCCCCCCCCAATCACACTGGCTTGGAGGCTGTGGGGTTGCGATGCTGCAGAGTACGAGATTGAACGGCACGATTCGCAGACGCATTGTGATGGAGACGAAATGCAAAATCACTCGATAGCAGTTTTATTGTGGGCGCAGTAAATAAAATAGGGTGGTTAACCGAGTGCCCTTCACTATGTCGCATCTTACTAAGCAGTTTCAGGAAGTTTGATCACATAATTCAAGATGTCTTGAACATTTTATGTTGTTTTTTTTTCGGTTATACTCATTTATTTATTTATACATTTATTTATTTATACATGTATTCGTTTATTTGGCCCTCAGGGCGCATAAAGGTGTTACAGAGAGGAATGCAGAACACAAAAACAACAAAAAAGTGCTGAAAATAGAACATAGAAGTCCAACGAAATAATGAGGATACCGGTTCATACAACACTAAGTTATTATAGGCTGAAGAAATAATCAGTTGGTGCACTCTTGAATGATGACACGTCCTTGATGCACGTGAAAGAGGAGAAGGGCGTATGCACTCGGCATCGGGTTTGGCAAAACGGGGTCTGAAAGAACATTAATGCGGCAGACGGGAATGAAAATTTGAGACTGATGACCAAAGCGTGATGATATGTATGAAGGTCTTAAGATGAGTTCTGGTTTAAGTGAATTGTTTTCATATACGATTTTTAAAAAAGACATGGGTGAGCCATTTGTCTTCAAAATTTCGAATCTGTTATTCCAAGGTTCAAATTAATAATGAAACGCTAGCTGTGTGGGAACAGTCTCAGTTTATGAAACACGCTGAACGATTTTTAACAGATGCAATGATAGTTGTTAATGTTTTGACCGGATACCCAAACAGAAGAATCATACTCGAGCAGCTGTCTCGTTAGGGTTTCATTGAGTATAGTGATCTTTAATAACGGAGAGCTTTGCGAAAATTTCTGTGTGTGTATCCGAGAGATCTGTTGGCCTTGTTAGTGATTTATTCAACGTGCGCATGCCAAGAAAATTTATCGTTGAGCTTAATCTGTATAGTTTCTTTCATTTCAGCTCTCTGGCTCCTGGCTGCGTATAACCCAACCAGAGAAACTTCATATGAATGTTCGTATGATCAACAAGGTTCGTTAGCGGTAGAAAAGTGCAAGAACCCTTAATGAGTAATTTGTCTAAGTGAATTCATAATCCAACTCTGCGTCCACGAAAAAGAATGTTTTAAGTTGAGCCACGTTGGGCATTAAATACGGGACCATTTGAAAACTGACTTGCGAAAATACGCAGTGGCGTCAGGCATTTATTTGCTACAATTTTGCTATATTCCTGCAGTCATGCCTGTTTGTAACCATTTAACACCATTAAAAATTGGCATTCAAAACAAAAGAACCAGTCCACGTGTGCTTACGGGATATGCCAGCAGTGTGTGCTTTAGAGTGGGGCATGATTCCCGAAAAATGTAATATCTCTATTTTAGTTGACATTTTGTAGTAGTTCTCTCGCGTTTTGTTGCATGCTTCATGGAAAAAGATCTCACTCGACCTGTGTTTCGTCATGTCACCTGACTGAAAAACTCATTTTGACACCATTTTTCCTTTATGTCACAGTGAGTGTCAGAAATCCGTGATGCAGCGAGCTCTTACTTTGTGAATAGGCTTGGTTCTGTATTCCAAAGCAAGGTATCCTGTCACGAGGCCCACCACGTACGAACCGACGTGCGTAAAAGGCTTGTAGTAGATTAACTCTAGAGAAAGGTATGTTTTTCTGAAAGAAAGAAGACGCGAACTATTGAGAACATGGTCACGCGGAAGAAAGGAAAAAAAAGGGATTCCTAAGTGATATCTATAGGAAAGGAAATGTCTTTAGACAAATAATGAAACTCCTAAGGGGCTAGTTTCTAAAGCCAAATCCTCGCTGAATTGCGTGATAGCACTACTGAACGTTGTTTGTTTCAGCTCATTGACCCGAGAAAAACCAATATGCTATAGAAGCACTGGAGCTGCGCAATTGGGATAAAATAGTGGTGCTAGTCTCACCTTTGGTCGTTAGTCGCGACGCTCATGGAGTATGCGACATCCCAGTAGTAAATCTGAAGTACGGTCATCACGCTGAAAGCAGCGGCTATCACAGCTGATAAAGCCAGGCCAATCTTTGGGTGTCTGCGCCAAAAGAGAAGATCTGTGTCTGTTCACCATACTATTAAATGTGAAACATTTCTTGGGGACGTGCAGGTACTTCGAGAGTGTTTATCTACGTATCTATCTATCTCTCTATCTATCCATCTAGCCGCCTATATATGTCTGAGTGCTCCCATGATCACCTATTGAACCTGGTGCAGACTAAAACTGGCATTGTTGGGTAACAGAGTTTCGGGAATATTACTGCATGGTCATGACATAAGTAAAAGGGGAAATCTTGTTGCATACGTCATCACACCCTTTCCTTCACTGGTTTGATTGATATGTGGAGCTTAACGTCCCAAAACCACCATATAATTATGAGAGACGCCATAGTGGATGGCTCCGGTAATTTCGACCAGTTGGGTTCTTTAACCTGCACCCATATTCGAGTACACGGGCCTACAGCATTTTCTCCACCATAAAAAATGCAGCCGCCGCAGCCGGGATTCAATCCCGTCACCTGCGGGTCAGCAGCCAAGTACCTTAGCCACTTGACCACCACGGTGAGGCGCCCTTTTATAAAGACACGTATGAAACATACCTGTGTAACATAGACCGCGGTACGCAGGTATGCGCCATTGGTGATTTACAGTTTATATACACCCCGTAATGACGAGAACAGACATTAGTTAGGTAAATGTGACAGCGTTAAGCGAAACTGATATTGGGAATGTATACCCTATGACTGCAAAGATAAAAAAGCCGCCCGCATCTTCCCACTGGGGGAACACGAGTAAATGCATCGCACAGGGGGGGAGCGGGGTATCGCATGAATGGTGCGTTATTGGGTATAATTTGGGAACGCCTAATTGTTATTTCGTCTTTATTATTCTTAGTTATTGAATGAAGGAGAAGCGTTGCCTTCAGCGAGTGGTGGGACGCTGATGTGCGATTCAGTGCCTACATATACGGTTGTGCAGCTCGAGTAGTCTGTTTTTACTAGCAGACGCTGCCTGCGTCGGCCTTGCGTGGCGAGAAAGGGGAGGGAGAGACAGTTGCTATGAGACGCAAGTATGCAGCACGAGACGCAAGGCGCGAGCATGCGCAGCCGGGTTGCCGACGCCGCTGCCAAGGCCGGATTGGCGAGTATACGTGCGGCTATAAAATGCTCCGCATTTACGAAATCAGGTATTCGGCAAGAATCGAACCTAAGGGTTCTGCATGGCAGTCAGGTATTCTACCACAGAGATATCCTACCAAGGTGCTTTAGAAAAAGATAGCATGCAGGCGTAAGGTCGGTGCGACTTCAGTGATCGCAGTGCTGGCTATCTAATGTTATACCAAAGCAATAAATATTACATATGTTAACCTGTGTCACCAGTGTCATGTTGCTTTAACGTCAATTGTGGTTCCAATGTTAACTCCACTTTTATAGAAATCTAGTGAACAGTACATTTGTATTCTTACCATTCAGCAAGCTATATTCAGGCGTTGCCCTATCCAAGAGAAAAATACGCTAACTAAAGTTACGTGTGTTATTCACCCCGTCACACCGTAAAGCACACTTCGTTTCTGTATGATACTAACTTCTATGCTCTAATGCGAGTTCTGACGTTATGTCATACCCCAAGTCACCCAGTGAAATCACCAGCTGACGCCGGCGTAGTCGATGTTCCTGGTAAGCCTATGATGTAGACGCATCATACTGCACTTAACGTCGACTCACCTAATAAATGTTGCCTGAAAGTAAAAAAATTAACATACGCTTCAGCATTACGCTTCGCGTAATGTGATATGTGGGGTTTAACGTCCCAACACCACTATATGATTATGAGAGACGCCGTAGTGGAGGGCTCCGGAAATTTAGACCACCTGGGGTTCTTCAACGTGCACCCAAATCTGAGCACACGGGCCTACAACATTTCCGCCTCCATCGGAAGTGATTACGCTTCGCGTAACCAACGTCACGGACTCTTCAGTCTACCACTGATGGTGCTGGTATAGTGTGCACGTTTGTGGTGGAGTCTTTACGCAACTATGAACATACATTGCTCGCATTGGCATATTGAAGACTCGTGTATGCGCATAAAATATATGTCTGTGTTGTTTGAGTACTACATTCATCCACATCGTCACGTTATGCTCCGTTACAAGGTCCACATTGCCAACTTATTAATGCATGATCCACACATCACTGATTCCTACGGTGCTTGGGATCGGCCTAGTATATAATACAATAGCGTTAAAGAGCTCGTTTCACAGAAACACAGGTCTAGGTGTCGGCAGTGGCGTCGTTGGTTGTGAGCGGAAGATCGGCTTTTTCCGTAAGCTATAGTTTGAGAAATATGCAAATATATAATAAAAAAAATTCTGCTTCGAGTGAAAATCGAATCAGTCTTCTGCGTGGCATGCAAGCACTGACAAGTTTCGCAAGTGCTTTCAAATGTCCGACTTCTATGTGATGAAAGAAAAAAATAATAAAATAGGTAATTTGCCTGCCCACTGCGCAGCCTGTGGATGTGAAGCACGATTTCAGCAGACTAAAATACTGGGACATAACAGAAACGCGTGTGCTCGTGATGTTTTGGAAGCGTTCTTCATTGAGATGAAAAGTGATAGCTGTATAAGTGAGGCCTCGATATCGCTCTACGGTGTAGAAGTGATCTTTTTGATTAATAAGGTGCGCTAGCACGTGATGTTCCATGGTCCATCTGCGCAGCTATGTTTGGTTTTCCTTTTTAACCGACGCTCTACAGTCAATAAAAACAGTTGGTAGTTTGCACTCGACCTGTTTAAGTGTTCCTTTTCTGTGCTGTGTTTTCTTTATTAGCGCAACTTAGTCCTGTATGAAATGAACCAACTAGCCTTTTAAGGCGTCCTAAGCCACTAACATATGTCGTGTTGCATGGCAGATATGTAGAATCACCCCGGGCGTTAAAACTTGCAATTTGCTTAAAGAGTGGGTGGTTTAAAGCTGCCTACCCATTACAAAGTGTACAGCTGCGCAAGTGCACGAGGCAACTTACGGACGCGTAGCGGGTACTTGGCCTATTTGCAAAACGAAGAATTGTATGGTTGTGGTAACTTCACAGGGTTATTTGAAGGCATTCGAGGATAGTTTGGAGCAGCCAACGTTACGCACGCAAAAGTTCATTTCTTTGCAGCATCATTAGGCGCACGAAGCCCGATTTGACTATCGCGTCTATATACTCTTGAAGGGCACGCTCAAGCATGCTCTATGCTGAAGGACCGTTTACTTTGCGCTGTCAATGCACAATAAAGAACACCAGATGGTACAAATTGCACGTTAAAGAACACCAGCCTTCCACTACAGCATGTCTCATAATCATGTCGTGGTTATGGCACGTAAAATACCATATGGTATTATATTCTAGCATACTTCGAATTTTGCCCCGCCGCGGTGGTCTAGTGGCTAAGGTACTCGGCTGCTGACCCGCAGGTCGCGGGTTCAAATCTCGGCTGCGGTGGCTGCATTTCCGATGGAGGCGGAAATGTTGTAGGCCCGTGTACTCAGATTTGGGTACACGTTGAAGAGCCCCAGGTGGTCGAAATTTCCGGAGCCCTCCCCTGCGGCATCTTTTATAATCATATGGTGGTTTTGGGACGCTAACCCCCACATATCAATCATGAATCAATACTTCGAGTTTTCTCTCTTTTCCAAATCATTCCCATATCATCTTTCGTGAGCATTTTTCGTCTGTCCTTTCGTGAATAACTGGGCAACTCAGCAAATTCATTCACTGTGCCCCATGCTCAGCATTACGTCCCTAGTTATGACAAGACTGGAGCGTGCCCTCGTGGAGCGTGCCCACGTTTATATACGAACCAAACAGGAACGACGATCAGGTGCCGGAGACTTGAATGGGGCGCCCTGTGCCCCTAGGGTATTGTGGCTTGTCAACAAAGCGAAATACGTCACTAAAGATGCGCACGTAATATTACATTCAAACGGGGTCTTCGCGTGGATTGAAATGGTTTGTTCGGTGTCTTGTTAAGATAAAATACATATACTTGCGTTATGTCAGCGGAGCGACGTAGCCAATACTTTATGTCTGATATTATTATTTGGGGATATGAAGATTTTATTTTAATCCAACATATTTGTATTACCATGATTCTACTGTGTTTCTATTGAACCATTTAAATTTCAGAGGTTTTATAAACGGCAGTCAACCCCTTGCTAGCTCCTTTTCAATTCTAGTTCCCCATCACGAAAATTGGTTCGCTGTCTGTGGCGTGATTCCGATACGCGTAAAAATAGAAAGTTATGAAAAGTCTTGCGATACAAGGCTTACAAGGGCCAGGTCGTATTAGAAGGTTAAGTTTCATAATGTGGACCTCTTTTACGGCACCTCAACCTAAATGCAAAACCGAGCTGCCTTAGCGGGAAAACAGCAATATGTACCTCCTATACGTGAAAACAACCACTGCTGTATGGTGCATTCAACAATGTCAGTAGAATTGGCTACCTGTCCTAAAAGTTAGAATTTCAAACAAGGCAGAACATCCAATAGCAAGAAGCCGCTCTTGGTGATTATCAATATTCGGAGGAAAGCTTACCTGATAAATATAAGTGACAGTGGAAGTGCCACAAAAACGAAAAGCTGCATGTCGGCGCTCACATACCACAGATGTTGCAGGCACTGTAAAAAATTTACAAAAAAGCACCTGAGAAAATATTTTGTTCACACGCATCTTAGAAGAGCGTATGTTCCTGATTTTCATAATTTTTGGAAGCCCCGACCCATTAAACATTTCTAGTGTGCAGCGTGGTCCTGTCCCATGCGTAGGAGGTGAGAAACGGGCTGCCTTCGAATGAAATATACCTGAATCATCATTCAGCTGAGTCTTGAATGGGGGAGCCTCTCTGCGCTGTGTTTAAAGGCATGCTAGCGCATCGTTTCCGTAACCAACTTCGTCAAAGCTGTTCTCTATCGACGCGTGCTTATAATCTCTTATTAAAAAGCTGTGCAACGCAATAGCTCAGTTCACGTAAGGGCGAGTACCAGACAGGCAAAAGATAAGACGACTCAAGAAATGCAAGGCTAAACGAATGCAGCAAGAATAGTCTGCCAAGCTGCACGAACGTTGTGAATTCTACTCCCCCTCCCCACAAAAAAAACAAATCTGGCTACACTGCTGCATGCTGGTCACTAGAAAAAGATTGCACTAATTACTTTAGCACTGAAAGTATCGTTCTTGATGTGAGCACATATTCCTGTCTATATATAATCACTACTGCATTGAAACTGGAATTGCGGGGCTTTTAAATTTGTTGGTCTGTTTAACACCCTTCACCAAGCATGGAGAGTCACCTGCTACGGTAGTTCGTGCATCGCCATAATACACTTGCTAAAGCCCTCAACGAAAGTGCTAGACTCATCCTAAACGAACTGTAAGAATAATATCAAACGTTCCCAGTGGGGCGCGTCGAGCAGGGTAATGTGTACGTACCATGTCATTCATCGAGTTGAAGTTGTTCGCATGCACGAACACAGTCCACCAATTTGAAATGCAGCCCTGCACTTCACTCGCCACGAAATCTTGATCAGCCGGGCCATTGACGAGTAGCGGCAGCAAGAATGTACCGAGGATAACTCCAATTATTGGCAATGTCAACCTGGTGAACGTAGACAGGTCAGAATTAACGTAAGTTATCCGACTATAGCCCAGCAGGCAGTAATTCGGGGAATAATTAAAAGGGAAGACATATATTCTACCCACAGGAATACTGAAACGGCTATGAAAAGTATCGGAGCCCGAGCACTTCAGTCAATAGCTGAAGACCTCTATGATGGCATGGCATGAGCCCTTCAGCAATAGAGTGAGTTTGTACGTTTCGCTCAAGTATGAACCAGCATATGCTGAATGTATACGATGTCTCGGTGGAGCGGTGATAGTGTTTTACGTCAAGTGAGGGACGAGCGACATATTCTTTGAGGCAATTAAACTATTAAACTAAACAAAAGTCTCCGCCCACAGCAGTGCATACTCTAATCGTTAATATTGCGAACGAGTTTACAGATTGATTATGCGTTGTAGAGGGAATGAAACATTGATGTGATTGGACTGCCATATTTACTCTCATACTATAAAGTGTTCCCTTCATATATGTAGAACATAGAGTGATAGCGGAATCGTCACGGCCCCTTTACGCTTCCACGATCAGTTTCTTTATTATATTACTATTATAACAAGTGTATCAATGCTCCTAGTTCCTCCAAGGGCCGGTTGTATCGGGTGAAGATGAATGTGCCAACAGGTCAGCCAGAAGCTGAATCAGTTCGTCTATTAGGACTGATGTAGCAATAATATCATAGTATATTTAGTTTATGGTTGAATTTATTTATTGGGGACGCTTAGCCAGCAATCACTGAATGCTTACCTAAAGTAACGCTTGGAGCAACCAATGAAGAAAATGATCAGCAGGTTCTGTTTGTATAAAGCTTGTCGAAAGACAAGCAGTGAATACGTTAGCGCGAAGCCACTGAAAATAAAATATATATATACATAAGAATAATATACAACCAATTGATACAGATGCAATATAACAGGCGGGTTTGTTGATCTGTGTTCCGTCATTAGGCCGCTACGTGTAACACTTATCTCCCGGTTGTTGTTTAGTTTCCTAGCATTGCTCATCTTTGGTTACAAGTTCAATGATGTTATTGCTTTTGTGATGGATGCACAGTTTTAATTAATTAATATTTTACGTTAGTTTCACCACCCAACTTGAGATTGAAATCACTTTCTCGTAAAGGGCTTTGTGTGCTCATAGCCACTGAGGTAGCTGGGTCTCAATCCGTCATCTACAGAGACGTCGTAACGACAACGTGTAGGTCACGTAAAAGATTTCGTGGGATCACAACTGCAGTGGTGTGTTACATTAGTGATAGCCCTATCATCATGCAGTAAAAACTGAGACGAATGCCAATATGAGGCTATAAGGTTTATTGACGCGCTTACGTTTTTCGCGAAGTCACCCAATAACTTCAATATTCACAGTATAGTCAACAATACGTTCGTTATAGGCTTTACCACCATGTTTTATCAACCATTAAATATTTTCACCAGCTTGCCGTACACTGCGGCAAACGTTGTAGTAAACTTTTCGGTTAATTGTGAATTTACCAAAGGCACCGTGTAAGATAACAAAGGACGGGGTTGTGTTAAGGGATGCTACAAAAATATTCCGGCAACTTTTCAACTTCTATGCAGTTGCCCTCCCATTCAGCGAAAGTGTTTTCGCGGTCCAGTATACAAACACAGAGAATTGAAATAAGTCTCTAGGGATTCATCTAGAGAGAAGGCAATGTCTGCAGGCACGAGCACCAAAACACCAGTATAAGTGTTGTTTCTTCCACCTCGCTTGTGTCTACGTTCACCCACCGTACCTTTTCTCATCATCTGATACATACTACTCACCTTAAGTACAGGAACGTGGATACGCTAAGGAAGCCATTGGGGACTATCTGAGAGAGAAGCTTCATGCTGATTTCTGCTATACTGAACAGGTTGTCTGCGTACAAAACAATGAGAAACACAAAAAGTCAAAAAAGAGCAACGAAGAAGGAAACGAAAGGAAAGAAAGGTCGATAGAAGACTCGTTGTTTTTTATTGGTAACGCCTGGATTTCCGTTCGCGCTACTGATAATGACGTCATTGTAGCTTTGTTGGAAACGCAAAAAAACGCAAAATTCTGAGTAGGAAAAAGCAAAATGCTACCGGTAAGACCCATATCTTCCGCAATTCGCAGTGTCATTGTGATAACACATCCTCTTCAAGGAAGAAGGAGTAAGGAACAGAAAAGAGAGAAACAACTAAATTGAGCGCGAAGGTCGAAGTGCAAGGCAAGGGCAAAGTGCACGTGTTATTTCAATGGGTAATACCGAATTCTTAATATATAGTTCACTTTGAAACGACCAGCAGAGTGCGAGAACAGAACGAGGATAAAAAAACAAGAACTCTGTCATCGTTCTGTTCTCGCGCTATAATTATCGTCATGTCATACAAACTAGCCCAAACTGTCACATTTCTAAGTGACCAGCAGTGGTTTAGTACGCCAGGTTGACCCGTCAGCAGCTGTTGTATAATCAATAACCGAAGGTACTCACTCACCTGAGAATTCGAGTTGCACCATTATGTAGGAGTGGCCGTATATGACCCACAGGATTAGAAGCACCTTGAAGCCACCCATGAAAAGAAGAGGTTGGTTCTTCTCCGTGTTCCGGACGGTCAACAGGTAGCGTGTATTGCTCAAAGCGGAGAAGTACAACAATGTTCCAAGTGCAGTACCATCTGTAGTGGAATGGGGATCAAATAAAAGTGGTGTGACAGCGGTCAAGAAATCCGGGAAATTTCTTTATTGAAGAAATCAATTTCATGTGAAGCAGTCTGAGTGGCGCCGCTTATGCCAGATTTTTCGCTTTGAGCCAAGCGTCACAAGATGGTTCAAGGTTTTCGTGTAAATTGAATAGTTGAGTGGATACCGTATGCTTTCCAGCATGCTGAGTGCACTAGCCTGTCAAGGTTGACTCATGGTTCGACGTGGCGTCGGAATTCGCGTGAACTCATTGAAGTCACTTTCATCGCCTCGATGTGCCCGCTATACAAGGTGTACATATCACACGTTGTGATGGCAGGCGCTGAACTTGGCTATAGCTTGAGGAGTTTCATATACGTAATGTCTGTTACGCTGAAATTAAAGCGGAAAACCGACTCTGACACCTCAATTGGCATTGTGCCCCGCCGCGGTGGTCTAGTGAGTAAGGTACTCGGCTGCTGACCTGCAGGTCGCGGGATCGAATTCCGGCTGCAGCGGCTGCATTTTCGATGGAGGCGAAAATGCTGTAGGCGCGTGGGCTCAGGTTTGGGCACACGTTAAAGAGCCCCAGGTGGTCAAAATTTCCGGAGCCCTCCACTACGGCGTCTTTCATAATCATATGGTGGCTTCGGGACGTTAAACACCACATATCAATCAATCAATTGGCATTGTTCCAACATGACGCTTGCATAGGGTTGCCTTTCCAAAACAGTCTGAACTCCGCGGTAGAATACTTGACTGCCGTACCGAATGCTTGGGTTTGATCGTGGCTCGAGCCATGATTTTCATTCTGTGCGTTTAACCGATTGACAACGCCGCCGAAACTCGAACTGCATTTTCTGTGGCTCGGGCTTCTACGTACTGTCACGTTAAGATTTCCAAATTCTCCCATACCTTCCAATGCCAACTTCGGTCTAGGAAAGCTTAAAGATGTGATCACGAGAACACCTAGAGGCAGGCAAGCAAAGCAGCTAGCTAGCTAGCTAGCTAGCTATATATATACGATCAAAGTCGCCGAAGTTCGCTAAGAAATACTTCGCATTTAAATGACCCTGACTGCCTGCCTACTTTTATAATGTTTTCGTGTATTTAATGTGGTTGTAAACAATGAATGAAAATGGGCATCAAATGAGTGCCTGCGGTCATATAGGGTGTAATGCAGATACAGCAGACAACGCTGACATGTTTCATTCAAAAGAGAAAGCGTTTTGCACACAAGACGTTTCGCACGTGCACTTATACCGAAGTGCACGTGCGTGAGTATCAGGATTATGGAAAGATAGAACGGACAGGGTAAAGCATAGCCAGCATAGTATCGTCGTGTATGGCGTCTGATCAACAATTCCCGCAATACACGCTCTTTGAGGTCATATGTGAAGGACAGGCGAATCACAGCTCCACACTTTTTTCAGCAGTCACGTTGAGTACAGCTGCATAACGTTTTCGTGTAAGTAGATGCTTCCAAAGATGTGAATCGATGTTATCATTCCCTTGTTACTCATTTTCGGTGACTGTGTGCCCTTTCACACTCACTCGGTGATGCGTACATAGGCCAAAATGATGATGGGATGTCTCAGAGTGACTTCTTTTCCAGTGTGTGTGCAAGGGGAGGCGGGATGTGCATGACATTTATTTCGCAGTAAATTATAGATGTGTTATTGCGGCTAATGCCTTTAATTTAATTTCATTTCATTCCTCGTGTTACACTTTTGTTTCCAGTTCTAACGTTATCAAAACGCGGTACCAGCCGCCATTGGTCTTCATATTTCATTATTACGAAATACTAGTGAGGTAACATATCTATACTGAATGCATCCACGCAAACCACATCGTTAACTTCCCTAACAGAACGTGCAGTGACTGAATCAGTGTATGTGATATAACGCGTGAAGAAAAAAAAGGACTTGGAAATTAGTCAAAAGAAGCCATCAAGACCGCTTGCTAGCTGGATAGTTTTTTCGTTAGTTATTATTTTAAACTTTCTGTATAGTGCGTCACATATCTGATCAACTCGGAAGGTCACATCTGGGTTTTTTTCTCAAAACAGGAACAGCGGACAAGTCTCGTGAAATCGAAGAGTAAAACTAAGTTGTTCTTTCCAAGAAAATAAAGGGAGATTCAATGTTTAAAAAAAAGCAAGGAAAAGCCGACGGCAGTCTCGTAAGCGTTATAGGAGCGCCTCTTTTCTGCTTTTCGCTCTGATCGCTCTGAGCATCCAGCCGACACCATGGGTGTGACGATCCGCAAGACCTTCTGCAAGCTGCTCCAACTTTCTGTGGCTCGCTGGACGCTGTCGCAATGAGCATTTGGCTGTTGCTGTTGTCGTCATAATTGTTGTTGTTGTTGTTGTTGTTGTTGTCGTCGTCGTCGTCGTCGTCATCGTCGTCGTCGTCGTTGTCGTTGTTGTTGTTGTTGTTGTTAATGTTGCTGCTGTTGTTGTTGTAGTTGTTGTTGTTGTTGTTGTTGTTGTGCTGTTGTTGTTGTTGTTGTTGTTGTTGTTGTTGTTGTTGTTGTGTTGTTGTGTTGTTGTTGTTGTTGTTGTTGTTGTTGTTGTTGTTGTTGTTGTTGTTGTTGTTGTTGTTGTTGTTGTTGTTGTTGTTGTTGTTGTTGTTGTTGTTGTTCAGCCAACGAGTCCCATCATTTTACCTCTCATTATAGGTGCACTCTCAAGGTGAAGCCTATAATATGCGATAAATTATGATAGCTCTTTCACCGTCCCCATTCATACGAGATAATTGTATCAAACGTATCTGGAAATTCATGGTTCTCGAATATAAAATAGGTTTACTACGAACGTGCCAGGCACATACGCTACGAATAGGTGATCCGCATACAGCTCCTATTAAATGCAGCGATTTCGACAGCTCAAAGGTTACGCAATATATATATGTAGCTGTGAGCTCACTGCGTGATTCTCGTGCGCTGTTCTTCCCGGGTAAATATAACGCCGTTGGCGTTTTGGCACATGGTAAGGAACATTAGCGTAATGACCAGCGTCGCGTTCGCGTGGACGTATACGTATAACAACAAAATACCCGTAGATTGCACTAGTGGCGCAAGATTGGAATGAGCTGGTATTAAACATAGATAACCTTCTATGTTTTTATTAGTAGCACACACCATGACTATATTCACCTGTTTTTTTTTCGGTTTCTGTCGGTTTCACACGCAATGCGCGTGTTACCTGGTTTTGGTGGGAACATTTCGCGTTACATTTGCGATTTTAGTAACGTGACTAGCTGGTAACGTGACTATAGCTAGCCCATCACAGTTATTGCATTCCACCCTTGACAAATCGGCGCGCATGTTGTGAGACTGAAGTGAAAGATGAAGAAGGGGGAGGAAGAGCACGTGCCCATTCATGATGATAGTTTTTCTGTTCGCGCTACTCTGCGCAACTAGAAGCTTAAACAGCTTCGCTGTACAAAACAAAACAAAAAACAAACAAATAAGACATGCCGCAAAGGCCCAAGACTGGACGACAACAACGTGGACGAACCCGGCACCGCAGTAGTCTTTCTCAAGTTTTCCAGCACGCACACCTACATCATTGTGCTTGTCAAATGTGTGGCCTAAACGAAGTTACCTAAGCGCTGCGATTGCACACGCAGCTGAAGCATGGCTCATGTGCAACAGCGCACTGAAAACGTAGATGAAGAAAGGCGTAGAAGCAACGCGGCATTTGTACACAGTCTATGCCGTCCCTGCACACTTTCTCTACGCTGTCGTTATTATAGCGATGGACTCTGAATGGGGGGATGTCACGCGAATTTGGCGATAGGAGAAAAAAAAAGCGCACGCACAGAAGTAGCGAAAGCTGAGCGAGTTCGTACCGATTCATCGTAAAAAATTACAAGCAGCACCACTGTCCACACTTGTACAAAAATGCGAGTAATGCAAAGCTAACAGCGCTATCATTTTGCGCACCAACATATAGTAATGTTCTTGTTTACCCTTGCGCTTGACGTTGCAGCCTCCACGTGCTTCCATTATCCATTCTGCAAGTGTTGCCACAACGACCGTGAGCACGAGAATTCCCAACACTGCCCTGTAGTCGGAAGGAAAAAAACATCGTGACCATCGATATAGTAAGAAGTCTGCTGACTATGCAACGATTCTTTGCCGAACCGTAGTTTCATTCTTTCATCATTCACGGACATCCAATGTGAGCGTTAAAATGCGCTGGTGTCATGTTTCTCAATAACGGCAAATCAGTAAACTTCAACTTCGCTGCAGCGATGGTGCAGTGGCTGCCTTTAACGAAGACGAAGAACTCGGAAACACCATCCATCCTTCTTGAATCGAAGCTGATTAATCTGATAGTTGCCGGAACATCGCCCACTTTCATGAAAAGTTTGCTACGATGGGAAAAGTTGAGGGCAGCTGCTTCTTGCAGAGGCTCTCTGAACTTCTTGGTCATTGTTTCATTTCCGGAAGACTAGAACAACCCGGATTTTTTGCTTACTTTGTAAAAGTGGATGTATTTTTCCTTTGCAGGAAATAACTAGATAAATAAATCGTGGGAAATTACTATGCTTACATGGACACTGCTTGAAGAAGCGTCATGGTCTTGGTAGAGTCCGTGCGACAGCTTCTGACGGTGGAGTTTATCCCATACTGACCGAGCACTAGAAGTCAAAAAGAAAGAGTCAATAACCACTTCGTTCCGCATGAAGTACTGCCAGAACCCTACAGACCCCATTGGTGAGGAAAAAAGTCGCTGCTGTAAGCCACATATACAATGGATAGCAACAAGCACCCGCTCAAAGCAGCTGAAACTTACGCGCACTATTCTTACGACTATATGGCATCCGTCGTAGACCACGAATCCTAAGAATATAATGACCAGGTATTCCGCCATAACACAGGTTTTCCTCATACCTCGGACTTTTAGGTCGATGTCTGCATTTGAAACGTCTCGTTTTGAACAATTGATCATTTTCATTAATTTCGCGTGTGTACCTAAATCATAAGCACGTACATTTAGCATAGTATGTATGCCGACCTGTCACACTTCCTTTTCTGTTGTCCAACTGCTCAGAAATACAGCTTTTACCCTCCTCCTTCTTTTTGCATCATCACCTGGCTCGACTGGATCGGCACCGAAGGTGAAGAACAGCGTAGACTGGTCACGAAAGCGGTCAAAATACTCCGCTTTTAGTTTGTAGCTGAAACAAAATTTTATTACTACTACTACTACTACTACTACTACTACTACTACTACTACTACTACTACTACATACACACTCAAGCTCGTAACGAAAAATATTTCCTTTTAAATGTTTCTAGCAGATGAGCTATTTTATATTAAATCTGCTTTCAAAATCAAAGCTGTTGCTTCTGTAAAGATAAGCGCTTTGGTGGTGTTCTTTTTCCGCCTAGTATTTATGTTTTTATTACGAGAGGTCATCCAAGTAGCACGTTGAAATGAAAATCATGGCCTTTGTTTTGCTGTGTCACCCCAGGCTGCTGTGAGTCCTAGCACGCATAGTGCGAGATTGGTCACCCGTTGTGGACGTACTTTTGGTGGCCAACACTTGGAGGTCCTTGGTGGTGCATGTCGACGGAGTGCAGATACCAATTCGGTAGTCTATGCTGGCAAATTTGTTGTGCGTGGTCCTCGTGAGCGGGTTTGTACGGCCCTGCAAAACAAGAAGCATTGATGTCACTCTATCGTGACTCGTTTGCAAGACTGTGCTCAAAACTGAATTAATCTAAGCTGATTAAAGAATCATATGAAAGCTCTATGTGCATTACTATCGAGGCAAATGGTAACCGTCAGAAGGAAAAACAATTTCAAAAGGCCCATTTTAGTCTTTGCTTTTTTTTTCTCTGATGAAAAACCTCATTAGTGGCAGGGAAATGTGCCACCATTGACTTAACTTCTGTGTGTCTTTTTTGTTGTACTATAGTGGTGGTTTCTCAAAACTTGCTAACTTTCAATCTTTGGATATTTTAGGACGCAGTGCGTAGCCCATCTTCACCCGACAGGAATTTAGGCATTCGCCAAGACGTCATGGTGCAAGAACATGGAGGAGGCGTCGTTACACATGTTCTGTTAGTTAAATAATTAATTTATTTATTTTCAACTCTTATAAACAAAAAACTATTTCATGGTAGAGGAATTGGGAATATAAATTCATCTCAAGACAACACCAGCACGTCTTTTCCTCCTTGCCAAGCGTCGTTTCACGGAAAGAGTGGCTTTATTGGTAGTCTAGATGGCTAACATGCTAATGTCGCGCAAGTGAGCGATTTTTCGTGTACACTATAGGCCTGATTAAAACGAGTTTGCCGATTGTCTGCGCCGAAGAGTGTGCCACTGAACCGCGGTGCGCACAAGTACATCGGAGGCCATGGTGTAGTTGCAACGCGGTTCAATGCCCGTCACTCGCGTGATGCTCATTCGTGAACTACGCTTGACGTAAACGTCAAGGTATTCAAGAGTAAACATAAATATTGATTTCAGCAATGCACTTCCAAGATGCGTTTGCGAAATATAAATGAAGTAATTCTGAATCCGTACTTTTGAAGAAAATAGAAAATCAATTAGAAGATCGCGCGAATTCCGGCGCTTACTTGAGGTGCACACACCCTCTGCTGTGTGACGTCATAGCATGACAGCGTCTCTCCACGGATTACTTATAGGTTCTTGAGAAGATGTCATCGCCTTAATAAACGAGGAGGTATACTTGGCAAGATACACCTCTTCGTGTGGCCCCCATTCCTATCAATATACGGTTCCTGCATTGCTTCACCCCAAGATCATTTGTGCGAGCAAAGACTTATCGATGGCAGCCACTTACCAAGAACTCCCCAATCTTGTGAAAGCTGTCGACGAGCGTGCTCATCAGGTCACGGGGCACTTTGAAGTGCAGCGAACAATACTGCCCCTTCATGGTAGCCTGGCCGTCTCTGTCGACCAACCTAGTGCGGAAGCACTGCTGGTACGAACCGAGGTTCACTAGGCCACCCTCAAAGATGTTGCTGGGGAGAAGCCCACTGGACAAGAGCACTGTAAAGTGGAAGCACTCACGTGTGAAAAAAAATATCTCGAGACTCATCATCACAATAGTATTACGCTAAGTGCTTAAGGAGAAGTTTATGTTTACCGTAAAGTCGCCAGCTCGAATTGTGTTGTTCCGCCTTAGGAATGTGATCTCCTTCTGACCTTTGAGCACAGGGATCTTCTCACTTATCTTCTCACTTATCTTCGCTTACAAAACACTCATCAGCAACTGATATTTTGTTAATGCGCAGGACTCGCAGGGCTTTAGTCCATGTGAAATGAAGTTACATGAGAAGTGAACGTTCGCAGCATCCCAGTCTACATTGTATTGCCCCAGCCGAATACAATGTAGTCTGGACGCGCGAAAGGTATCACAGGCGTGCCGAGACTAGAGTGCCTTTGACACACGTGATCAAGTGATCTAGCCTAAACCAAGCGAAAGCGCAGAAACAGAAGCACGACACTAAATACGCGCAACGCTGTTGTGCAACTTGGAATGCAATCGAACAGCGCCTAAATACTGCAATGCACCCCATGTACGTTGTGGCTCAAGCAAAGCTGCCATATCAAGCATTGTTAAAAGTATTCATCGTGTGCGTCCAATTAGAGCTTCTAGAGCTGAGGTGAGGAGCGATCAGACTTGAGCAGCGTGAAGGTTTCCTCTCGTAAATGGTCACCAGGACAGCAGAGAATATAATGGTGAATTGGTGTATTTTAATAAGTGTGCATGAATTACCTGAACAGTGTCATCACTTTTTTAGGTCGTGCGAACAATCTCTCCCTTCCTATTCCTGTTTTAGCTCTCTCCCTCTATTTTTCTCCCTATTGCTCTCGTTTTTCGCTTTTCAGATAAACACTGAGAACGCGTCACGCCAGAGAAGTCGAAACTTCTGTAATTATAAATTCATATTGATTATGCCCTTAAAGTCTTTACGTACGCCAATGCCTGCAAGAATATCCCGGGACTATATGCTCGCAAACGGAAATTCAGCCCAAGTTAGTTGGCCAATCAGCTAGCTCACCCACCATGGTGGTCCAGTGTGGCGAAAGCACTCGGCTGCTGACCCGCAGGTCACGGGATCAAATCCCGGCCGTGGCACCTGCATTTTCGGTAGAGGCGAAAATGCTTGAGGCCCGTGTGCTTGGATTTAGGTGCACGTTAAAGAACCCCAGGTGGTCAAAATTTCCGGAGCACTTCGCTATGGCGTCTCTCATAATCACATGGTGGTTTGGGGACGTTAAACTGCACATATCAATCAATTATCACTATTGTCACTGAAGGCACGTTGACAGGAAAGTATATGTACCAGCGCACTGGAACATTTTCTTTCTTTCTCTTTCACTTTACGGGATAGATGATGTATGAGGCCTACGCTATTTATAAGGGTGCAATAGAAATATCACTAAAGAGTATTATCTTTCACTACTGGATAAAGACACTCACCGTGATAATTTGCTTTTATTTCCCTTTTAGCCTTAACCCAGGGCTTTAATTCACTACGTCGTTCGTATCTTTTAGGGGGAACGGCTGAAGTGAAAGCGTTAAAGTGGGCGAATGAACAATGAAAGCTCACGCTACTGCTAAACCCTTGCTTGTCAAGAACTGAATAGCTATCGTATAGTTTCTTCCTAACAGCAGTAACGATGGTACAGGTAGAAAACTGCACTCTGCAAAAAAACATTGCTGCGTACCTCAGCAAAGGTACCACTTTCAACTGGTACCACTTTCAATAAGCGCACGAAGGCGCACTCAGACTTTGGCAATGTCGGACAACTGATTCGCGTTTGTGGTCTCAGTCCCGGACACTGAATCCCGATCTAATTAGAGTGGCTACAAGGTTTGCCGAAGGCTACCTGAAAAACAGCAACTGCAATGATGGTGTAGTAATTATGGTGTTCGATTGCTAACCTTAAGCTCACGGTATCGGAGCTTGGCGGTGGCTGCGGCATTCTCAATGTTGGCGAGAATGATTGAGGCCCCTGTGCTTAAATTTAGGTGCGATTTAACAAACCCAAAGGGATCAGAAGTACTGGAGCCCTCCTCTACAACGCCCCTCGTGATCCTATTGTAGTTTGGGACAGAAAGCTTTAACACACTTAATATTACTCCGAGAATATCTCCTCATGACAACGAGAATTCTATCCTTCCTTTTGAGCATGATACCTGAAAAACAACTACAACGGCTTTTTTTTTTCTTTAATTGCTCTCTTAGGGACCATTCCGTCACGCCAGCCACCACTGCTGAGGACTACGCGCTTAGGCGCTCTAAGAAAACTACAGTGAAGCAACTTTTTTTTTGCGTCATTCGGTCGTGTCCGTAAGTCTTTTGTAGAATGTAAGGAGGGCTGTTATGACGTCCGCTCCTCTCTCCCTTCGTGCGCATCCTTTCAGGTGGTTGCGCCATTTGTAATGACGTCGCGCATCCGCCCGTGGGCTCAGTTCGAGTATATGGGGTGAATCGGTATAGGGGCAATCCCGTGTCGGTACCAACATAGCCAAACAATGACGCAACCGAATTAATTCCGAAGTTGAGGTCAAAAAACAGGCTTCTGGAAGGCCCACAACACTCATTAGGATGAGGGAATTTCCGCTTCGCTGTTTAGTAAGCTCGCCGCGTCAAGCTGCCGGAGAGCATTCATACGTACAATACGTATTTCATGATATCCCTTCGTCTCAACTTAATCATCAGCTCGCACTTCTCCGGCTTAGTACTGTATCTGTGCTGATGTGTTCGCCTTTGCGCGTTTGCTTAATATTTCGACATTAATTACACGGACGCTGGTGGTTTATATTTTGGAAGCACTCAACTTCGGCGTCCCTCATAATCATATTGTAGTTTTGGGAAGTCGAACCGCAATATTTTTAATTACGTGGACACACAAGGTATTATTTCGAAGTTCCATGTGCATTTCTTCTCTGGATTTTCTGGTACACGCACGTTTGCGTCCTGCAGTTGCTGTGACATCATGTTTTTTTTTTTTTTCGCTGTTGCTGTTCACTTGGAGAAAGTGTAACACCCTGCTACTGCAAGCGGGCAACCTGTTCCTCCAACGTTTGTCCACTGACCTATTTGCTTACAACAAATGCACACATAAAGGCGTGTTTTTGTGCCATTACGCCATCCAATTCGGTATGTCCCGAACCCTCCGTTGACGTGACGCGGCACGCAAGATTTTCCCTTTCGCACACTTACGCAGTTGCACGCGTGGCCTTAATATAAGAACTCTTTCACTAATTTTCGAATCGACGAACGGGAGAGGTAGTCCACTTCAAGGGCGTAGCCAAAACATTTGTTTCATGAGAGAGAGGGGGGGGTGGTTCTATCAACTTTATCAACTTTCTATATGTTTGTGTATGTGTTTGAAGTTGTAAAAGACTATGTCTACTTAGGGCAGGTAATAACCGCGAAGCCGAACCACGAGATTGAAGTAACTAGAAGAATAAGAATGGGGTGGTGCACATTTGGCAAGCACTCCCAAATTATGACAGGTAGATTGCCACTATCCCTCAGGAGTAAGGTATATAACAGCTGTATCTTGCCGGTACTTAGATACGGAGCAGAAACCTGGAAACTTACAAAGAGGGTTCAGCTTAAATTTAGGACGACGCAGCGAGCGATGGAAAGAAAAATGGTAGGTGTAACCTTAAGAAACAAGAAGAGAGCAGAGCGGATTAGGGAACAAACGGGGGTTAAGGATATCATAGCTGAAATCAAGAAGAAGAAATGGACATGGGCTGGGCATGTAGCGCGTAGACAGGATAACCGCTGGTCGTTAAGGGTAACTAACTGGATTCCCAGAGAAGGCAAGCGGGTTAGGGGGAGACAAAAGGTTAGGTGGGCAGATGAGATTAAGAAGTTTGTGGGTATAAATTGGCAGCAGCAAGCACAGGACCGGGTTAACTGGCGGAACATGGGAGAGGCCTTTGTCCTGCAGTGGACGTAGTCAGGCTTATGATGATGATGATGTGTTTGGGTGGGGGGGGGGGGGGCATAGTTGAATTTTCTTAAACCCCCAGAACTGGCTACGCCAGAGATGTGCATCTGTAGCTTACAACTGTAACTGGCCTTCCCAGCCACAATTACATTTCAGAATCGATGATTGATCACGATGCACGAAACGGGAGTGGGTGCGGACGAAATGGTGAGCTTCAAAACGCTAAACGTCCGTGCACGTGCTGGTACGCATGCCACGAGTTGAAAATGATATCGGCTTGCTGGACTGATCTGCCATTACACAGGTACAATTGTGGTGGTGGTCAACCAAGTACTTACGTGTAATGATTATGATTAGAAACCGGAACTTTAGACAGGAAAATAGAATGCTTTAGGGGTCTATACCAAGCCCTAAAAACTGCCATTTAGGCACAAATGGGCGTTAAAAACTATCGTTTAGGCCTATATAGGCGCAATTCATAATTACTTCATTAGCGTGCTCAGGACAAATATTCAGCTTCTAACAAACACAGCAGGCAAACTCTGTGCTTTAGGAATGCTAAATTTTATTTTCGATGAAAAGGAATAGCAAGAAGCACAATTCATTTGAACAGATGTAAGTGAAAGCTGAAGTAATTTGACATTGTGGAAAAGGCTATGAAAACAGTGACAAACCAGCATCATCTCAGGGTTTTCGGCCTTGAATTGTGCTTAGTTTCAGTCAGTGTTTCTTTTATTCGAAAAAGAATGCTCAACGTTCTTGCTTTATCACACACTTGCTTTAGCACACACAATCTGGGATTTTTTCTAAGGCAGATTGAAGCTTTGAGGCAACCCTGTCAGCGATGGGTCCATTGGAGACGAGGCAAATCTTTTCTGCACGTCCGAAAAAAAAATGGGTATCCTTAAGCTTCCTCTTTAAGCGTTGAACGCGATAGCTATGCTGTTCTTGATGCATACTTCCATTACTTAGTGCATACCTTTATTGCATGATGTTACTCGACAGGTTTAAAAAATATTAGATTTCTGTACAGTATAATCGATAAACTTGAAAGTGGCTTGTGTCAGTGA